CTTACGTGAGCATGTTTTCTTGTCTGGATTCAGGATGTAGCCAGGGTGACACTTGCAGATGTACGAGTCACCACTGTTGACACAAATATGCTGACAGTTGTGTCCTTGATCACACGGATCCAAACCTAAAAGGAAACACTTCACTGTCTGATTGGCTTATGCTTACTAAAATCACAGTAAAATCAGTTTTCCTTGTATTATTTGGTTAGTCTGTGAGTATTGAGATAATCTGCCACATGCAGGTAAGGTTGTATGATCTTTGTTATTCAGCTGAAGAGATGTCACATTTATCTTATGTGATTTGAATTTTATGTATTTGTAAGACGTATTTAAGTAGTTCAGTTTCTATAAATTCCAACTACAGCCCATCCATATGTGAACCATGCAGTCAAATAAAAAGTGAACCCAATCACAAAACTTGTCTTCAGTGAGGATTTTACCATTGCTGTAAAACACAAGTTGTTCACACCAAAACCCCCAAATACTCTTTAGGTTCAACTGTATGTTTAACAGGAAGCTTTTTCCAAGGGACCAGTTATTTGCGATGTTTGAGCTAGTGAATGTCATCGTAAGAAATGTATTTAGTATTTAGTCTTCAGCACAGGTCCAAGCTAAGTACATTAGCTTTGATAGAGTATGGTTGCTTAGCTGAGAAATGTGTGTAAAGCATTTTTTTCTTTAAAATATTGTAAAAAGAATCAAATGAAATGTTTTAAACCACAAGGTATGGTTTAAAACTTCTTTAGGAAAGTGGCTGTGTTTAGTCAAGTTCTAAATATAAGAGAACAAAAGAAATTTCCTACTTAAAAAATAATGCCAATAAAAGACTTTTCTGATGCTTTTTTTTAAAGCTCTAATTGCAAAGCAGTTGCCTTTAGTGAGTTCCTGCTTTAGACAACTTTTTAATGGCTTGCAGCACTTATTACAGCAGCAGCAGCACATTTCTGTGAACAGAATAGACAGCATCATATGAAGTTTCCTACATTTTAAAGAATGTGGTCAGAATCTGAATTGTCTCTTCTTTAAGTTGGTTAGTGTGGAACTTATTATTTATGCTTAATGCTTACTGCATTAATACCACTCAGTGTTTTCAGTTGCTGGACGTCTTTTCAGTAGCATGTCCAAATAGTGATAAATTAGTGGTTGTCTTTGTGCTGCACTTAAAATTAAAGAAGAGGACCACTAGCCTTAGAATGAAGATCCTCTCTATGGTGCTGCCCATATGCTCACAGGTGAATAGAATAGGACCGATCTGACATACCGTTGTTCCCTTCACTGACACGCTTATTATCGTCTTTCCTGTCATTTAGGCCTAGTCCGTTATCATCAATATCTGCACTCCCATTATCATCATCCTTACCACACAAAGTTTCCCTAAACTTAGACGTAAGCTTCTCGATCACACCATAGGTCTCCACATAGAAGACATGGTCATCGTGTGGCTGGCTGGCCATAAGTTTCAGGGAAGCCATATCAGCTCTGTCAACTCCCACTGCATAGATTTCAATCCCAGATGCTCTGGCTGTGGCTGACACCTCCTCCACCTTGTCCTGAGGTCTGCCATCGGTCACTATAATAGCCACCTTAGCAATGTTCATGGAAGCGGATCGGGCCCCGGCCTCCTTGGTGAAGGCTTTTTCCATGGCGGTCCTGATGGCCATTCCCGTCATGGTGCCTGAAGCTAAGGGCTCAACTTGGCCGAGTGCCTGCTTCACAGATGATTTGTCAAAAAAAGTGTTGAGGAGGAACTCAATCTTGACTGTGCTCGCATAATTAACGAGGCCGACACGAGTGGCATCTCTGCCGATGACCAGGCTGTCCACCATGTCCTGCAGGAACTCCTTGGCCTTTTTAAATTCAACAGGGCGCACACTGCGTGAACTGTCCATGATGAAAACCAGGTCAATTGGGCGATTTTTGCAGTTAGTTCTTGTTGCTGTAAAGAAAAAAGAACAATTTTATTAGATTCGTTATATGTTCTCTTTTTTGTAAGCAGAGAGAAAAAAATATCCTTACAAGGAAAAGTGAATTAGGTGTTTTATTAGCTACTTGTATTTTGACATTTGTGTATCATGTCTATATATGTGTTTCATGCGTTATTTGATTGATTTTCTTATTTTATAACATGACAGCACACATGCACTGCATTTGCCATCACTGGCATCCATATGTATTCATGTATTTTTCTTTTTTTATGTATTTTTCTTTTTTGTTTTATTGCATAAGCCCAATAACAGAAAAGACAAACGTTCTAATATTATATTTGATTTTACTGGTTGGTTAATTTTCTTCCAGAAATTATATTGAAAATATGTTTAGCACAAAACAATGAACAAACAGAAAATAAAATTATATATATATATATATATATATATATATATATATATATATATATATATTTCACACATTTCAAAAATTTCACACATTTTTCTGTACATAGTTCTTATGTTGAGATGTTCAGTGCTTGCTACTGATTGTTGCTGGATAATCTCCAGCAGGCTGCAAGGAGCCAGATGGTGCAGCTTTACGCTGAGATGGCTTGGACCCATGAAACCAAGACTTATTGCGATCAATTTAGCAAATTAAGAAAAGTGTGTGTGTCGGAAGAGAGCTAAATAGTGCTCTCTTCCGCATCCAAGTTTGAGTTGTATTATTATTTTAAGTGCTAATAAACCAGTAACAATTTCTACTGCAATGGGATGTCAAATAAACCCTACAACCGCATGGTCTAGCTAGCAGTTAAAATGATCACGGGAAAAAAAAAAAAAAAAAAGAAAGAAAAAAAAAAAACGCCCAACCTGCGTCATCTCTCAGTCCCTCGTGCCCCAGGTAGATGTCGGCATTTTTCCGCGCTCCCCGCTGCAGCTGGACGCTTCTCTCGCCACCCCGCCGGACCTCCTGAAAGCCTTTCTCACTCTGCGCCTCTACAGACGCTAAGTCCGCTGATAGGTCATAGCGCCCTGTAGACACCTGACGGTGCAACCGGGGCTGTGGGAGAGAGCCCTGAGATCCGGCCGCCAGGATACCAAAGACCACCACCTTCCACACTAATGAAACCATCTCGACTTCGTCCAACTGGCTTACAGCAGGGTGAACTCCTATTTATATCCTGCACGACCACTACCCATAAGGCGTGGAGAGTCGGGGATCCAATCCAGACCCTTTAAGTCGTTAAATGAGGGTAAATCCAATTTATCATAGACTAAAGACGTTCTGAGTTTAAAGCTTCTTAAATTTTTTCACTTTCTGAAGTTGATATTGGGGATGATTTTATAAAAATGTTTTTGCATAAATGATAGTGTCTGACAAAAACCTGTTGGGTTTTTGCATATATAATATGCAAAAACCCAACAGTTTTTTGCATATTATTTATGCAAAAACTCTTATACCCCAGAGTTACGCCAAATGCAACCATTTAACATAAAAAGCTACCTCTGTGTGAATGTAAATTTCATAATAAATCCACTGCAAACTTCCAGGGTCTTCATGTAATACCTCAATGGTTAACAGACTATAAGAGAAAGAGAGAAAAAAGGGACGTGAAGCATACCAGATGGGCCAGTTGTGAAGTTGTGGAGAAGTTTAATGCAGGATTAGGTTTCGAAACAATATCTCAAGCTTTCAACATCTCACAGAACTCTCCGTGAGATTGAAATCTAAGACTTGTCCACCCACCTAAACTGAAGCACGGGGTGGCAGGCCAGGGAGGTAAATGCACGCCAGTAGTGGACAAAAGTTGTCTTAGGATTCAATGGCCTTGAGACAGATGGAGGTTCACCTTTCAGAAAACCAGTGAACTGAAACTAAAATGAAATGGTATAAATCAAATCATACTAATGTGCTGTAATGTTGCAAAAAGACTCCCAACACACTCAATGCGCTTTCATATTTAAAGTGATTAAATATTAAGATGTTTTTAGCCCTAAATTAAGGTTAAAATCAATTTTGAACAGTGATCAAAAAAGTGAATTTGTATGAAGCATGCCCTCTCATGGAAATTAGTGTAAACTGCAGCAGGGGTACATTTATTTTTCAGACTGGTTTATGTGCAGAACCACTGTGATGATGACACGCAGTGAGGGTGATAAATCCGTAGAAGGATGATTTGAATTACCTTTCTACTTTAATGTCAGTATCCTGTACTAACAATATCAACAGAAAAGAGTCTGAGAATGCAAATGATCGACAACAGCATAGGCTGTTTTGGATCTTTATTAGATAAACATTTTCCAGGAACCAGCTGACAAGGAAGGGGACAGAAACCACAGCACACACATCTGATCAAACTGTGTGAGCACCATGTTTCTGTTGAAGCTACTTGTAACTTTTATGTGTGTGTTTCACTCTAGCACTAAAAATACAGATCTGCATGCGTATCTTTATGGGGACGTTATTATTGGAGGTCTTTTTCCCGTTCACGAAAAAACCAACAGAACAAAAGCTCCTGGTCCAATATCTTGTGAAGAGTAAGTATGCCCTCGACAAAAACTCAATTTACATAGCTAGAAAATGTACTGTTTATTTCATGCCTTCTTTTGCAGGTTTAGCATCCAAACATTCCTACGTACCCAAGTGATGATCTACTCTATCCAAGAGATAAACCAACGAACGCCGAGACTGCTGCCCAACCTCACCCTTGGATATGACATTTATGATACTTGTGGAGATGTCAGCCTCGCCATCAGAGCAACTCTGCAGCTGCTGAAGGACCAATCAGATCCTCAGAGGTGTCTCATACCTGCATCCATCAATTCCTCCTTGCCCGAACCTGAGACGAAGGTGGTTATTGGAGAGAGATACTCTGAGCTATCCATAGCAGTTGCAAGGGTACTTGCTCTACCATCAGTCACACAGGTTTGTCTCTCGCTTGCAACGCAATAAAATTAGACCATGAAAATTATTCAGATAAGTTCTTCTGTCCTTAGAATTTCATTTAGGATTTATGTAAAGTAAGACTAAAAAACCAACAAGTCTATCAGAAGGAAAAACATAATTTAAAAAGCTGCAACATTCTAGTTGCAAAGTTGTGCACACCCCTGAACTTTGATGAACCTATCTTTTTCTTATCTTCGTTATCTTTGGTTGGAGTCTATCAGCATCCCAGATTTTAACCTACGAATATTATTTGCAATGCCTTGCAAAAGTTCTGAAAAGTAGAAAGATTTAGAAAATTATGTGACAATATTTATGTCATGTTCAAATGGCTCCCTAGGCAACCCTGCAATTCTTTCTGTTCAGTTTATCTCTGAACTCTTGCTTGTTTGTTTCAAAATTATAAGTTTGAGCTTGTGAATTATCTTTGTTGATTTGTAGAACTGNAGAANAATACCCTTTTTCATCTTCAGCTCTCTTACAGTCATCTAAAGATTTTGGGGTAGAAGAGATTGGTAAATAAAGCTGTTCACAATTTCAGTGTCTGTTAGAAAACCAGGCCCGCACCACATGTGGGTATGGCATTCATTTGGTGATGAGTTTGTTTTTTATCCCAAATATACTTTTGTGAACTTATCCTTTAAGCTTGATTGTCTCAGTGTTGGATGGTAAATACAAAGCTGTATATTTTTTAGTAACTTCTTCTCAAACAATGTTTGTAGCCAAAGAATAAAAATTTTTATAAGGTAAAAATTAACCTTTTATAGCAGTGTTTCCCAACCCTGGTCCTCAAGGCACACTGTCCTACATGGTTTAGAGGTTTCCCTGCTTTAATGTGCCTGTTTCAGCTGATTGCAGTTCAGCAAACGCCTGTTAATCAGTCATCGATTGAAATCAGCTGGACTGAAGCAAGGAAATACCTAAAACATGCAGGGCAGTGTCCAGGGTTGGGAAACACTGTTTTATAGGATGACCGAGATTAATGAGTACGTTTTTTTTTTTTTACAAGTGAAAACTCAGACGGTGGTTAAACAAATGATCTTTTAAGGATGCACACACACTTAGATGTTATTCTTTAAATTTTTCCCTCAGACATATTTGCTCTTTTCTTTTTTTAGTTCAACTTTACAGGACATGTTTAAAAAATGTTCGATCATTGATATAAAATTGTATGGATTTTTACTTGTGTGTGTGTGAGAACCTTATCAATCTTTTTTCATTGCATTGCTGCTCTCCACAGATTAGCTATGCTTCAACCAGTGAGGAGCTCAGCATAAAATATAAGTTCCCCACCTTCCTGCGGACTGTTTCCAGTGACAAACATCAGACGAAAGCCATTTATGAGCTGGTGAAGAATTTTTCATGGCAATCAGTGGCCATTGTGGGAAGCACTGATGAATATGGGAAGTATGGAACCGATAGTCTCCGAGAGCTCTTCAGGGACAATAATATCTGTGTTGACTTTGTGGAGATTCTCCCTGATACCTTCAACAAAAACTGTTCAACGGCAAGACATCTGCTGGAAAAAATAGAAAATTCTACCGCTGAGGCCATCATCATGTTCACCAAAGACACCAACGTTCAAATCATCTTTGAAGCAGTTATTGAAAAAAATCTCAACAGAACCTGGATAGCAAGTGACACCTGGTCCACTTCTTCTACAATCTCTGAGATGAAAGGAATCAAAAGCATTGGTCCAGTTTTTGGTTTTATTTTTAGACAGAAGGAGGTGCCGGGCTTTAAAGATTACGTCACCTCAATGTTTAATGGAACTACAAACAACATTTTGAGTTATCAAGTTTTCACAAACGGCTCCAAAGATGACATGAAATGTAACTGCAAGAATAAGGCATCCGACCCAAGCTGTTTGTACTGCCACATTGACCATGATGAATCCTACAACATCTACATGGCTGTCCAGGTCATTGCTGAGGGCCTCAGAATCCTACTAAAATGTAACAATCAAAGCTGCGAACGGACCAAGTTTACTGCTGTTGAGGTAAAGTAAACAAGTTTCTGTGTTGAGTCATTCTTTACATATGATTTCAGGAGTACTTCATAGGCCCAGAGGATTGCTACCTACATCACACTGTAATTTCAACAATCACATTTTGCACATTCATCCTTGAGACAGACAGTCAACTTGCATAATTTCTGACATGGAGTATATAAATATCCCTGTATGAATCTATCTGGTGCCAGGTCCTTGCAAACTGAGTCACTTTGATAGCCATATCTGATCTGAATTAGAATAAATAAATTATAATATTGCATATATTTGAACCCCTATTTCATAAATAAATATTGGTCTAAAAATTGTCTCCACAGCTTTTTCATGTAATCAGGAATGTCAACATCACTGTGAATGACACAAATATCTACTTCGATGAAAACGGAGATCCCAGTTTGGGATACGACATATTGTTTTGGAACACATCTAAGTCCAAAGAAGGCGTTGAGAAAATAAAAATCGGAGAATACTGGCCAAATAAAAACATTTCATTTAACAAAGATGTGTCACAATGGAGAACCACTGGAAATGTAAGATGAAGATATATTAGTCAGTGAAATCAAGAGCTTGTGATCATATGCTAATCCTATTGTATCTTTTACAGGTCTCTGTTTTTAACTGCTTCAGAACATGTCAACCAGGACAAAGAATGAAATCACAAAATGGAAAATGCTGCTATAAATGTGTTAACTGTTCATCTCAAGAGTCTTCGTATGGAAATGGTCAGTGTTATCTTTTTACTATCTATGCTTACCATTTCTGCCTAAAGGTAGGAAACAGAAACATATAGTTTCCTCTGTACCCACTTTACTTGTGTGAGAAGCTCCTGTGTTATTTTATATCAGTGTATGTAGTCCTTTGACTAAATACACTTAAAAATGACGCTATTTTGCTTTAACAACATGGTCACGGAAAGAGCACCACACCTTTCTGCAGGCAGCCTCCTCTGTGAACAACGACGTTGCAATAATCATTCAGTAGTTTCATGTCATTTGACATTCGTAGTTATTTAATGAAGAATCAAACACATACAGGAATTTAGAGGATGTTAGTTTTCACTAATTCAGATTAGTTTACACTGAAATATGTTGTGTATTCCTCACACAGCAACACCAAAACGTTTATAATGAATAAAACATGAAATAACTCTTTGAATGATGTTTAGTAGTGTAGTGTCAATATGTATGGTCAAATATAAGGATGTCGTGATCCTTAGATGTTTGGCCTTGGAGCTTAAGTTTTCTGCTTTGATCAGTCTCTTTTTCACTTATATTTTGTTTTTATTTTCTTTCTGCCTTTGTCTCCCTTTGCAGACACTTCCTGCAAATCATGTGCCAATCACCAGTTCTCACCAGCAGACCATAGAAATACTTGTGTGAATAAAACTGATGAGTTTCTCGAGTGGTCAGACCCCTTCTCCGTCATTCTGATCACTGTGGCTGTCATTGCAATAATTGCTACGGTAGCTATTGCTGTCATCATCAGGATCAACTGTGGGACTCCCATTGTTAAGGCAATTGGAGGCTGCTTGTGTTTCCTGGAGGTGGTCTCGTTGCTCCTCGCCTTCTGCGTAATCTTCACCTTTATAGGAAAACCCACACCAAATTCCTGTGTAGGCATTCCTGTCTTTGGTATAAGTTTCTCTATCTGTATCTCCTGCATCCTGGCCAACTTAATTCAGATCTTAGTGGGTTTTAGCTTTGACCCAACAGTTTCATCCACAATTAAGAAACTTAATCATCCAGTTGCTGTGGTTGTCATCATCTCTGGTGTGCAGTTTGGTGTGTCGCTGGCTTGGTTAATCGTTCTCCCACATAGTCCTGTGGAAGTGCCAAAAGAATTCACAATATTGTACCAATGTAACATGTCCGAAGAGTCCAAAAAGTTTTTTGTAGCCACAATAGTCTACAACTCTTTCTGGGGCCTTGTGTGTTTTGTCTTTGCATTCAAAGGTAGACAGCTACCCGACATTTACAAAAATGCCTCATTGATCACAGTGAGCATGGTGCTGTTTTTAATCATATGGATTGTTTTCCTCCCAATTTATCTCACTTTGGAGGGAAAGTACAAACCAGCTATAAAAAGCGCAGCCATTTTGATCTCTTGCATCAGCATCCTTGGCTGTCACTTGGCCCCCAAGTGTTACATTATGTTGTTCAGGAAAGAGATTAATAATCAGAATGCTATCAGTGAATATATTAGGAAACATTATGAGAGGAAGGATTTGTCCGTGATATCGTCATGATTATCCATGCTTGGTTGTAGATTAATTGCAAAATAATACAATTGGAATCAGATAGTGGGATACTATGTATGCAAAAAAAACAACAACATTAAATCAGTCCAATTTATGCCAATTTTAGGGCGGAAAAATTAAATTATTTGTATCTAGTAAATGCAGAAAAAAGAAGCAGGACCCTTTGGTTGTCATAAATATTGGATTCTAAGGCACTGAAACTAACCAATTCATACATTTACAGCTTATTGTTGTATTGTTGCTTTTCCAACATTGACAAATTGAAATCTGGAAGAGACTTCATATTCTGTTCCAGATGGGGTAATACTATTTTGTTATTACCCCCAACAAAATGGCAATAAGTATGTTTTATTGTAAATACATTGGCAAACATAATCAATAAACAGCTGGTTTGTAATGTAATTTGTATGCATAAAACTACTGTTTTAACATGAACATTTATTTTAATATAGAATATTTCATACCACTGCTATAATTTAATTTCATTTGCTAAAGTTGAGTGCAGTGAAATGGCAAATGAAAAGCCTTTGCTTAAGGGAGTAGTCGCTTTTTAAAATGAGGTTGTTTTAAATCTGCTTATAAATGTTTTTTTATTAGAAGTTAAAATGTTATAACAGTGTCACCTGTATCATTTGAAAAATATGTTTTGTGTTTTAAACCCTACTTAGCACCTGAAATAAATATCGAATGAGCTAAACATATGCAAAGATGTACATAAAGGTTGACTTTGAAAAATAAACATTGAGCTTGTGGGTAATGGGAAGGGGAGTGGGGGGAAAACAGATTCTTATGCATTTACTATTTCTATCTATAAAATCACAGCCATTTATAATCAAAGGTGTTTCTTTTGGAGTAACAGCTGGATATGTTATCATGCCTTCAATCAGATGAATTATAGCAGGATTAACATTTTGACAATTTTCATTTAATTCAATTTCACTACATGTCTATGTTTTGATAAAATCATCATAGCATAAAAAGCTACCATCTTCTTCATGAGCTGTAGAACACCTTGGTTGGAAAGTTGCTTTTGTTGTTCCAAATCAGGATCAAATGTCATGAAATAGACAGTGGTCATTGGTCCATCCAGGCTAGGTCACCAGTCCAAAGCAGGGCAACATGGACACACAGGACAAACAACATTGCACATACTCATGTCTAAAGACAATTTAGAGACCAATTATCCTAACAGTGATGTTTCTTGATTTTTGAAACCTGAAAATAAAAATAAAATGGTGGTTCTTTCAAAATGATGGGAAATTTGCTGTAGTAGATAATGTTTGTGCCATTATAAATGCCACTATGAATGTGCTGTGCTTCCTGTAAATAAATGAGAAATTTTGCTGGCATGAACTCTGATGTGTGATTTCTTCCTCAGCAGAGATCTTACATGAAACAGTCAAGCACCGTAAAGTAGCTCATTTGGTATTGACAATCTGGTTTATGGAACCAGAGGTCATGAGCAATCGGCTGATGACCTCTTAGTGGCTCAAAACATGTTTTATTTAGCTAGACTGAGGGGGAAATGGCTCTTTGGATTGTAAAGGTTGCAAACCCTGATCTATTTTATTTGTATAATCTATATTATAATCTAAATATAAGGTGCAAAATTCAATTCTAACACATTTCCTAGTTTTACTCATGTTAAGAGAGGTTCAGTCCCTGCGATGCTTCTAATGGTTGTTGTAGAATCTCCAGGAGGCTGCAAGGAACTGGATTGTGTAGCTTTGTGCTTAGAGCCATGAAACAGGAATGTATTGCTACCAGCTTTGCAAATGAAGAACAGGGAGTATGAGTACACCATATGAAGCCTATTGAGGGAAAAATAAACTAGTGAAACAGGCCTATGTAGCATCCAAAAATAGTTGAGTTTTATTATTTTTGAAAGGGGCGGTATTATGTATTTTCCTAGCAGATGGTGCCATTTTATAGCACAATTAACTAACATTGTTACCTCCTGTTGTTAAATAATTGCTGTACCAAACATAACCTAAAAGAAATTTGATTTCAAAACCTGATGTGTTGAAATTAGCATCTTATTCCTGGCATCCGTGAGAAGCTCCTGCATTTTCCAGCACTCTGCCTTCAGCAAGTCGTCACAACAATACTTCTTATGTTGTTAACAATTGTTGGACTGAGAAGTAGTTCCTCTGATGGACTCAGCAGACGTGCAGTTTACACCAGGTGTTTGCAAATTGCTGCCGTCACTAGTCTGGTGTAGCTGAGTGTAAAAGATTAGGAGGCATGGTTTGTGAGGAGGAAGCTCGGCTTGGCGACTGCTGTGGAAATGGACATTGCTTTTGTGAAAGCAAACATTTAGGCAAATGCTAGTGGCTGCAAGGGGAAGTCAAAAGGGATACATTCTGGACAGGTCGCCAGGCCATCACTGTGCAACACAGAGACAGACAGGACAAACAATCATGCATGTACTCACCCACCGAGACCAATCCAACAGAGGACAGAGTGCCCAGAGAGAAATCACTCATGCTCTGGGAGAACATGCAGACTCCATGCAGAAAGACCCCGGGAATCGAACCCAGAAGCCCTTCTTGCTGCAAGACAACAGTGCTACCAACTGCAACACTGTGCAGTTGGTAGTACTGTTGCACTGGTTACAAAACTATGTGTGGCAGTAAAGTAACAACTGCAAGTCAGTGTAATGGTGGTGGCAGCATCCTGCTGTCTGGATGTCTTTTTTACTCTGGCTACTGGGAGTTGATAGTAAGATGGATGGAGGGAAATGCAAAGCAGTCCTGGACAAAATGTGTTTTAGGATTTGATAGGCTTGAGATGGATTTATTTTCCAGAAGAATAAAAACATTGACCTGTTAAATCAAAAGAGCATTGTATGAAGCATGCTGCCCTCTCATGAGGATTAGTGCAAACTACAGCAGGGATGTAGTTTGCACTACATCCCTGCTGTGCAAAGATGAATGCCTTTACTGTTCATGTGATAAACAACTGTCACGATGACTTGCAGTAAGAATAATCTGCAAATGAATTCGTCTTTGTGAGTGATTCAAATCACCTCTCTACTTTCGTGTCTGTATCTTATTCTAATGATATCAGTGGAAATGTGTCTGACGATGCAAATGATCCAGATCAGTAGGCAAACCCTATATGTGAAGGGCTTTCCAGGAGAAAGCTCACACTGCAGGAGTTGAAAGCACAGCCTGTACGTCTGATTCAACCATGTTTCTGTTGAAGCTACTTGTAACTTTCATGAGTGTGTTTCACTTCAGCTCTGAAAATACTGATCTGCATGCGTACCTTGATGGGGACGTTATTATTGGAGGCCTTTTTCCCGTTCACGAAAAAACCAACAGAACAAAAGCTCCTGGTCCAATATCTTGTGAAGAGTAAGTATGCCCTCGACAAAAACTCAATTTACATAGCTAGAAAATGTACTGTTTATTTCATGCCTTCTTTTGCAGGTTTAGCATCCAAACATTCCTACGTACCCAAGTGATGATCTACTCTATCCAAGAAATAAACCAACGAACGCCGAGACTGCTGCCCAACCTCACCCTTGGATATGACATTTATGATACTTGTGGAGATGTCAGCCTCGCCATCAGAGCAACTTTGCAGCTGCTGAAGGACCAATCAGATCCTCAGAGGTGTCTCATACCTGCATCCATCAATTCCTCCTTGCCCGAACCTGAGACGAAGGTGGTTATTGGAGAGGCATTCTCTGAGGTATCCGTAGCAGTTGCAAGGGTACTTGCTCTACCATCAGTCACACAGGTTTGTCTCTTGCTAAGTTTTATATGCTATGCAACATCCATTTAAATGTAAATATATCAATTTGATACATACCAGATCATGACACTGAAATTCAATCAAATAAGATTGTGATAATTCTTCAAATAACTGTTTCCACTTTTAATGTTTCACGTATCTCGTCAGACATGAATAAACAAATCTGAAAGAAAAATATGACTTATAACAACTTGCAATATTGTAGTTGCAAAGGTATGCATACCTGTAAGCCAAAACATGATTCAGTTTTGACTCCAGGTTTTCTTTGGTTTGAGTCTGTCAGCATCCCACATTTGGACCTATGAATATTATCAAAAATATTTCACATTTTGGAAAAACGTTTTTATTGTGACCCCACACATTTTCTGTAAGATTTACCTCTGAATTCTGACTTGGTCATTCCAAGACTATAAAGTTTGTTCTTGTGAATTCATTATTATTATTATTATTAGTTGAATGTCTGCTTGTGGTACTGAAAAAACAATATCGGTCAGCTTTCTAGCACTCATCTAAAGATTTGGGGGTAAAACTGACTTTACCTCCAAATCTTTGCTGTTCATGATTTCATTCTCTTTATAAAAACAGCTATATGAAATAAAGCCCCCATTGTGTTTCATAGTTTGGAAGATATTCTTTCATCCTGGCCATTGCCTTCCTGTGTAACTCTGTTCAGTCTGAGCGTTCTCCTCTTGACTCTGATTGTCTCTGGTAGATTTTTTATTGGGACAATCAGCGAACAGAAGGAGAAGTTGTGAACGACAGCGTCAATTTTTTGTGCTGTTTTAGAATTGTAGTCTGTCAGTAGTTTTATCAATTCCAGACTACATTTCTACATTGGCCAATCCATGTTGGTCACGCATCCAGATATTGTACGAAACAAATAGTGTAGAACAAGTGACTGTTTTTTATATCACCCTCAGAGTCTTTTTTGCTGTCCTTTGTTGTTTTCATGCCAAACATACCTTTCAGGCTTCAGGTAGCCGAGGGCAGGTGTTTTACCCATGAGAACTCAAACAGTGATTCAGCAAAAAAAAAAAAAATAAATAAAAATTAAGGCTGCGCACACTTACACAACCAGGTTATTATTGCTTTTTTCTTCTTTACATTTTTCCCTCAGACAGATTTCCTTGTTTTTTTTTGGGTTGAACTGTAAAGGATACCTGTCATATTAAAGGTGAAAAGAAAATGTCAATCATTTTTGGGAAATGCATGAATTTTTACATGGATGTGCAGACTTTTTACATCTTTTTTCATTGCATTGCTGCTCTCCACAGATTAGCTATGCTTCAACCAGTGAGCAGCTCAGTTTAAAATATAAGTTCCCCACCTTCCTGCGGACTGTTTCCAGTGACAAACATCAGACGAAAGCCATTTATGAGCTGGTGAAGAATTTTTCATGGCAATCAGTGGCCATTGTGGGAAGCATTGATGGATATGGGAAGTATGGAACCGATAGTCTCATGCAGCTCTTCAGGGACAATAATATCTGTGTTGACTTTGTGGAGATTCTCCCTGATACCTTTGACAAAAACTGTTCAACGGCAAGACATCTGTTGGAAAAAATAGAAAATTCTACCGCTGAGGCCATCATCATGTTCACCAAAGAGATCAATGTTTGTATCATCCTTGAAGCAGTTATTGAAAAAAATCTCAACAGAACCTGGATAGCAAGTGACACCTGGTCCACTTCTTCTACAATCTCTGAGATGAAAGGAATCAAAAGCATTGGTCCAGTTTTTGGTTTTATTTTTAGACAGAAGGAGGTGCCGGGCTTTAAAGATTACGTCACCTCAATGTTTAATGGAACTACAAACAACATTTTGAGTTATTATCAAGTTTTCACAAACAGCTCCAAAGATGACATGAAATGTAACTGCAAGAATAAGGCATCCGACCCAAGCTGTTTGTACTGCCACATTGACCATGATGAATCCTACAACATCTACATGGCTGTCCAGGTCATTGCTGAGGGCCTCAGAATCCTACTAAAATGTAACAATCAAAGCTGCGAACGGACCAAGTTTACTGCTGTTGAGGTAAAGTAAACAAGTTTCTGTGTTGAGTCATTCTTTACAAATTACTTTTTATATGTTTGGTTGTGATTATTAGCCAAACAAAGTTTAAAACGTACCTTTTGTTTTGCAGCAAACATCTATCTTTTTATTATTAATATTGCCTGTACAGGTAGTTTTGCACATTTGTCCTCAAGACAGTCAAATTACGCAATGTTCTGACACGTATAATCTCTGCTGCCAAGTCCTTGCATAATTTGAATTAATTTGATACCCATAACTAAACTGTATTATAGTAAATTAATAATGATATTGGACAAGTCTATGGGGTCTGTTTTTGTCTGTACGTATATTTAAACTGCAACTTCATAACAAGTAAATCAGCCTAAAAATTGTCTCCACAGCTTTTTCATGTAATCAGGAATATCAACATCACTGTGAATGACACAAATATCTACTTCGATGAAAACGGAGATCCCAGTTTGGGATACGACATATTGTTTTGGAACACATCTAAGTCCAAAGAAGGCGTTGAGAAAATAAAAATCGGAGAATACTGGCCAAATAAAAACATTTCATTTAACAAAGATGTGTCCCAATGGAGAACCACTGGAAATGTAAGATGAATATATATTAGTCAGTAAAATAAACAGCTTGTGATCATATGCTAATCCTATTGACTCTTTTACAGGTCTCTGTTTTTAACTGCTCCAGAACATGTCAACCAGGACAAAGAATGGAATTACTAAAAGAAAAATGCTGCTATGGATGTGTCGACTGTTCATCTCAAGAGTATTCAAATGGAAATGGTCAGTGTTATATTTGCTATCTGTTTTGTTTTTGCCTAAAATACAATTTTATCCTCTCTTACTTTATTTGCCATCAGTTTGAGGCCATTAGCTCAGAAGCACTTGGTTTGTATCAAGATAATGATCCAAAGCGTACAATAGTACCCCTTCTTTTTCCCAGTCTCAGGAAAATACAGCAAATAATTTTCTTTGCTTTTTATATTCTTTCTCTTTGTCTTCTTCTGCAGATACTTTTTGCAGACAATGTGAAAAGTACCAGTTCTCACCAGCAGACCATAGAAATACTTGTGTGAATAAAACTGATGAGTTTCTCAAGTGGTCAGACCCCTTCTCCATCATTCTGATCACGACAGCTGCTATTGCAATAATTGCTACTGCAGTGATTGCTATCGTCATTGGCCTCAACTGTGGGACTCCCATTGTTAAGGCAATTGGAGGCTGCCTGTGTTATGTGGAGATGGCCTCCTTGCTCCTCGGCTTTTGCACAACCTTCACCTTTATAGGAAAACCCACACCAAATTCCTGTGTAGGCATTCCTGTCTTTGGTATAAGTTTCTCCCTCTGTATCTCCTGCATTCTGGCCAACTTAATTCAGATCCTGTTAGGTTTTAGCTTTGACCCAAGGGTTGGCTCTAAGATTAAGAAACTTAATCATCCAGTTGCTGTGGTTGTCATCATCTCTGGTGTACAGTTGGGTGTATCCTTGGCTTGGTTAATTGTTCTCCCACGTCTTCCTTCAGTGGAACAGAAAGAGTCCACAATATTGTACCAATGTAACATGTGCGAAGAGTCCAAAAAGTTCTTTGCTGCCACAATAGTCTACAACTCTTTCTGGGGCCTTGTGTGTTTTGTCTTTGCATTCAAAGGTAGACAGCTACCCGACATTTACAAAAATGCCTCATTGATCACAGTGAGCATGGTGCTGTTTTTAATCATATGGATTGTTTTCCTTCCAATTTATCTCACTTTGGATGGAAAGTACAAACCGGCTATAAGCAGTGCAGCCATTCTGATCTCTTGCATCAGCATCCTTGGCTGTCACTTGGCCCCCAAGTGTTACATTATGTTGTTCAGGAAAGAGATTAATAATCAGAATGCTATCAGTGAATATATTAGGAAACATTATGAGAGGAAGGACTTGTCCGTGATATCGTCATGATTATCCATTCTTTTGAAATTTGGTCTTGTCTTTGTTATAGATGAATTGCAAAATAATATATTTGAATCCAAACATGCACTGTATGTAAAGACAAAGTCAAACTTTTCTTCTCATTGTTTGACATTAAAGCAGACCAAAAGTTAGGCAAGCTAAGTAGAGAACTTTACTAAATATCTAAAGTGAAAGACGGAAGGAGGTACTCTATCAATATGGACTAAAATGCCATTCAAAGAGTAAAAATCTGACAAAAGTGACAGAAGTTTAGTCTGACATAACAGACAGTGAGAAACAAAGGTGACATCTTTTGGGACAGGAAATTTTCATGAACGCTATTGTACTGTTAAAATAATCAATTGGAAAAAAAAAAGGTCCTTCTCTTACCCCTATTGAAATTTGGCAGTTGCCTTTGGTAAAATTTCAGGTGCCAGAAGACAGGAACTGAGTTTGAAAAGTAGGAAAAAATCATATAAAAACAACTTGGTTGCAGTAAATATGTGGAAAATGTTGTAGAGGACTATTTTATTTAGATCCATGCATTTATGGCTGATTGTTCTATAAGTTTTTTCAACATTAAGTGAGAAATTGAAAGCCTGAACTTTCTGAGTAATCACAAAAATAACCTTCAAACAAATGGTAACATATAAATTACCAACAAATGTAATGAGTACACTTTGGTTTAAATGCATTGTACATGCATATAAATATAGCTTAGAATATTTCATGCCATTTACATTATTTCTTCTCATTTGCCAACTCTGTGACTGCAGTCATCTTTCCTTTCCATCAGCAAATAAAATATCCTAATGAGAGAAACTCACAGTTTTTAAAATCTGGTTTAAAACTGCTGACAAATGTTAATTTTTGATATTATGACACAGTTTCACTCATATGGTGTAAATTTAAATCTGTTGTGTTATAAAATCTATTTAGCACCTCAAATAATGAAAGCAAAACCTAAAAGTTTACAGACATGTACAAAAAAAGTTAACTTTGACAAATAGATTAGTTTAATTTTAATTTAATCATAAATCACCTGGTTTTCACAAAATTAGGCCACCTGTAATTACGCTGTATCACAGTTTACTCATCTAATCACACTTTATTTTTTAGCTATTATTTACAACAATTTGCATGAAATGTGTAAAGGGAAAGCCCAAGGCCAGTGAAATGAATTCTTAATCAGAGCAAACGGTGGCAAAGCTAAAACACTGCTTTTCCTTAGCAGAACCTATTATTTTTTGTATATTTTAACATAAATTTCTCTTGTACAGAGTTTTGTGATTTTATGTCTGTCAAAAGCACTTTATAAATGAACTTTTATTACTTACTAAAAACTTAAGTAACTAATCTAAACTGAAGGAGATGGAGCATTCTTTGCCTGGTGAAGAAGCAAAAAATATGTTTGCATCTTTAAAGTTGTATATATTTTGTTGAGCAAACAAACTCTCCAAAACTGTTTTTGTGATTTCATGGCACGCTAACTACATGGGAAAAAATATAAAATGCAAAACACGTGGGCAGAGTAAATGTAATTGTGGAAGCATGCTTCCTCTTTCTATATAATACCATGTGCAGAAAGCTTGTATTTGACTATCAAATCTAGCTCACATTTTCACTCGAAAAACAAAGCCAAAACATTCTCCTCTCCTGGGAGGTATTCATGCCTGAAAGGATTTAGGTCAAAACGTATTTATTTATTCTGCTGTTGGGAATCTCAGGGATAGGTATTGTAAATATCTTCTGCTGCAAATGACAGATAAATGTTATATTTACCCAGAATAATATGAAGTTGGACTAATTTCACACTTTCATCTGTATTGTTATTCTTTGTGCTTTCAAATATTTTTGCTATTGGGAATAAGGGCATTGGTGTACCTATTTTTTCTGTAATATGTCAATAAGTATGGAATAAGAAGGCTTCTTGTTCAAAAGGATGAATTAAAGCTTTTACATGACGCTGTTTTTGTGAGTAGGCTGGGTTTTTAATTATTTTTTTATTCCATATTCATTCATCTGCAACATTACCAGACTCTAATGACTCTCCAAAATACACCATTTGCTGCATGTCTAATTTTCTCAATGATTAAAGCACCAGCAAGAGGATGCTAGAGTAAAAAATAATTTAAATAGCAAAAGAATGTTCCTTCCCAAACAATTTAAAGATAAATTGTTTTAATCTTAAATATAGAAAAAATATTTGAAAATAATTTTAAATGTGTAAATTATTAGATATCATTTCAGTGATTCTTGAGAATAGGGACAAAACAGGTCCTATGGATAAAGCACAAAATTTGAATAAAATATACACAAAATATAA